CGCTCGTGCCCGGTGACGCCGACCCGCTGGTTCTCGCGACCGACGCCGCGCAATTGGCGACGATCCCGGTGTTTGCGGGCCCGACGGCCGCCAAGGCCAAGGTCAAGCTCATGCCTGTGGCCGGCGCGCTCGGCGGCGTTCCCGCGACCCACGCCGAGCTCGCGACCGTGACGGCCACGACGACCCCCGCCGCCGCGGCCATGGCGACGGTCGCGCAGGCCAAGGCCGTGACCGTGACCAATCTCGCGACCGCCGACGTGTTTGGGTTTGCCAACGACGACACCAACAAGAACCTGGCGATCCAGGCATTGCGCAAGTACGGTGTCGGTGCGTGCAACCCGCCCGGGTTTTATGGGACGATCGACGTGCATATGCAAATCGAGCGCGAGCTGGCCGAGTTCCTGCAAGTCGACCAGGCGATCTTGTACGCGCAGGGCTTCTCGGCCGTCGGATCCGTGATCCCGGCTTTCTCCAAGCGCGGTGACCTGATTGTCGTCGACGACGCATGCAACTTTGCGATTCAAAAGGGCGTGCAAATCTCGCGCTCCAAGCTCGTCTTTTTCAAGCACAACGACATGCACGACCTCGAGCACAAGCTCGCCTCGATCGAGGCCGAGGATAAGCGGCTCAAGCGCCCACTCTACCGCAAGTTCCTCGTCGTCGAAGGGCTCTACGCGAACCACGGCGACATTGCCCCGCTACCCACGCTCCTCGAACTCAAGAACCGGTACAAGTACCGCCTGATCCTCGACGAGACGCTTTCGTTTGGCACGCTCGGCGCCACGGGGCGCGGGTTGACCGAACACTTTGGCGTGCCCGCATCCTCGGTCGACTTGCTCGTCGGGTCCCTCGGCCACGCGCTGGCGTCGGCCGGCGGGTTTTGCGCGGGCGCCAACGCGGCGATCGAGCACCAGCGCCTCTCGGCCTCCGCCTACGTCTTCTCGGCCGCACTCCCGCCGATGCTCGCCGTGACCGCGTCCCACGCGCTCGCGCAGTTGCGCACGCGCCCCGGGGACCTGCTCGACCCGCTGCGCGGCAACATTCGCGCCTTCCGCAGCGCCGTCGCGCACGCGGGCGTCTTTGAGCTCCCATCGGACCCGCTCTCACCTTTGCAGCACCTGCGCGTCGCGCGCGACACGCTTCCCTTCACGTTCGCGCCGCTCAAGGTGGAACCGACCCCGCGCCGACGAGATTTCGCCCAAGACGTCGATGCTGTCGCTG